TTTTATATTAACAAGTAATTACCTACCTAATTACAGCTAGGTACTATGGTAAATAATCAGATACAAATAAAATTAAATAACAATATCCAGCTTTCTGGCTTTTGGCCTGCATTTCATTAAGTACCTCTTCTGTACTGCCAGATATTTCTGGATACATACACAAAAGGGACAAGCCATATAGTCTGTCCTCACTTACGGTGTTACGTAGGTAGGACTTTAACAATTTTAGGTTTGAAAATTGGTAAAGTTAAAGTAAAGTAAAAAATCTTAGGTAGGTACAAAAAACGGTAAACACATTAAGAATAAGATGAATAGGGAGATGTAAGAGTATTCCCTAATATAATTATACGCCTATACAACAATATAAAAAAAAATAAAAATAAAAATCTACCTATAATGGTAAATTACATTATAGTTTTTGTGAATATGTAATGGCAAAATATAAATTGGAACGGCGCGCGTCGTGTCTGGAGGGGGCAATTGCCCCCTTTGCCCCCCCCCTGGATACGCCACTGCTGTCCAGCGACGATTTTGGCAAGCTAAATCAGAAAATAGATCAGTACGTATTTATAGTCACTCACTGGCGAAAAGTTATTCAATTATTTCTCTCGATTTTTAACTGAGATCTACCGCACGCTACACAACCACCTATTTTACAGTCTTTTTCGATAAATCGCAATAGTATCACTGTTAATTTAAGTTCGACTTAGACTAGACTTACTACCTTTAAACAACTATCAGTTGTAGAATAAATAATAAATAACATAAAATAAGCTCAGTAAAGACTGAAAAAATCCACAAAATTTCAAATCAAATTTAAATGTGTCAAATGAATCGTCAAACAGAACTGTCAAGGATCCCCACCCTAGAGTCCTCTTTCCGTCGACCATGCATGAATACATGGATCGAATTATACTCCTTCCTTGATCTTTTTATTCAAAGGTATTAGACGATCCTTGATCATTAGACGTTAGTTAAAATATAAGTACCGTCCGGCCTACCCGCAAGAGTGCCATATCTCGCGAACCGATGCGAATATTATTTCGCTGTCCTCTCCGTGGGCTCGTTACCGTCCACTTAATAGCGTCCGCTTATATAATGGACGTTAATATGGGCGCAGATCACGAGGCCCAGACACTGGCATCACCCATCTCGCCCAATGTTCACTTTCTGTCTTCTACGATATAAACATCCGAGCTGGATGCACCTCGCTGCGAGCGCTCCGCGAACTCGTCCATTTGCACCGTGTTTTTTTGCGCTCCTCGCACTACAGAAATAATAGATTACCGTGTACGGGGTGTTGTATTAAGCGACAGGTAATACTTGGTTTAAAAGTGGTGATTTTATCGTATAGAGGGGAATCAGAATGAATTTAATAAAAACTAAAGTAATGTACAGGGTGGGTCAAATTCGACGCTTTTAAATGGAAACACCCTTTTCTATAGGAGATAAACAAAAACTAATATAGGTGTCTGGAGCTCAATTTTCGTCAAAAACATGATGGTGAAAACCGCACATCAATATCTGTTACCGTTTCGGAGTTACGGGGTGTTTTTCAAAAATGTGCATTTTTAACAAATCGCTGTAACTTTTTTGCTATGGAAAATTTTGTATTTCTATGAAAACATTTCCAAAGCATCTTTTTACGTAGAATTTAATTGTTTAAGTATAATTTTTTTAAAATTAATAATTTAAGAGTTATCAACAGAAAAATTGATTTTTTATATGGGACACCCTGTATATTTTTAATTTATTGAAAAGAATTTAAAATTACTTTTCCAAAAATACCTATAACACACTTGATATTTTGCTCGATTCCTCTTCGAGATATAGAGTATATAAAAATTCGCCCGCTTTAAATAAGTAGGCTTTGAACGGCACCGGCTGTAATGCAAAAAAATTCTAGCTGTGAGCATCAATTAAAACGGAAAGAATATTTGCTATGAGAGATGCAGAATTTTATAACAATTTAAAATATATTTAACCAACATCAACACATTTAAACTATATCTCATAACAATAAAAATAAATAGCAAACCAGGACATGAGATTTTGCTACAGTTGTCCGACATATCGACCGTCTTCTGTTATTCTTGCGGAATTCATTAACTCAGTGGGAATGAAAGATACCCTCTCATAACTGCTAAGTATTTCTAATTCTTGTCTAGATTATACAGAAGAATAAGGAACCTTTATTCTTCCGCAAATATATCCATAGGATTAGATCCACGGGCGATAAGTTAGGCGGCCTCGACGGCCAACGGCTGGGTTCTTGGTCAGCTATTCAATTATTCTTGAAATTGGCTGCAGAAATTTGCTGATAACTTCAGCGTTCAGAGGCGGTGCGTCGTCTTGCTGGAAAAATATGTTTTCGAGTTCCATTAAGGGCATATCATCAATGAGGGGTCCAAAGCCTACTAGTTAAAAGTGGCGAACTTTTAAAAAATCTGTATTTCGAAGAGGATTATAACAAAATATCAAGTGTGCTATATTTTTGGAAAGGTAATTTTAAATTCTTTTCAGCTAATTAAAAATATACAGGGTGTCCCATATAAGAAATCAAATTTTCTGTTGATAATTCTTAAATTATTAATTTTAAAAAAATTATACTCAAACCATTAAATTCTACGTAAAAAGGTGCTTTGGAAATGTTTGCATAAAAATACAAAATTTTCCATAACAAAAAGTTACAGCGATTTGTTAAAAATGCATATTTTTGAAAAACACCCCGTAACTCCGAAACGGTAACAGATATCGATATGCGGTTTTCACCATCATGTTTTTGACAAAAATTGAGCTCCAGACACCGATATTAGTTTTTGTCTATCTCCTATAGAAAAGGTTGTTTCCATTTAAAAGCGTCGAATTTGACCCACCCTGTACAACAAAGAATATTATTCTTCTACTATTTCCAGTGTTGTGTTATTTAATAGGATGTTTTTTCTGTGTACTAGTTCGTTGTGCATTACTTATACGATACGATAAAATCACCACTTTTAAATCAAGTATATTTTGGACAACTAGGTAACATTCAGCTCGGGATCTTAAGAATTAAGTTAACATGGAGGACTCATGGAAGAAACTCAATCAAATTCAATTCTAAAATGCCACTCTGTCTAAAGAAGAAAACAGTCGACCAATGTGTACAGGGTGTCCCATTTTGGTTGAAATCATAAGGTATCTCCGTTATTAGTGAAGATAGAAAGGTGCGGTTTGCACAAACCTGTCTCACTTTTTCGTCAAACGGAAGATGCCGTAAACAAAATTTTCATAGCCCTCTTCGTTTCCGAGCTACAGGGTCTTTTTGAAAGTTTTGCAATTTGGGACACCCCCTGTATCTCTGTTATTGTTAAAGCTATCGAGAAGGTGAAAACTGTTTATTCTAGAACTGTTTACGTGGAATACAGTGGCGTAGTCTGGTTTTCTACCAAAAAAATATTTTTGAAAATATGAACTAAAGTTATGTTTTTTTTTAAATGGAACACCCTCTATATTTATAAATCATATGATCTCTCTTGCCATAAGCTTCTCAAAAATATATATCACTCTATATTTATTTTCACTATTTACTGCAATATTTAAAAGTTTTGATTAAAAGATCATATTTATTAGTAGGCCATGATTGATATTAAAAGAAACTAAAGAATTATTAAAAGTATACTGTTATCTGTCTCTTGTTTTATTTTGGGAGCCGCTAATAAAGTCTTTATATATTAGGGAAACTTAACTCTCTAGCGCTATTTGTAAATCTTGGAATACGTGTATACATACGAATAATCTATCGTATCGGAAATTTTAGATATTCCTTTAGCTAATTTACGTGAAATATACTTTCAGCAAGATGGGGAACATTCCCCCTCATAACTATGAAAATATTAGAATACTGTTAAATTATTATTTTTCAAATCAATGAATTGGAATCAATGAACATATATTGATAGCCTCCTCAATTCCCGGATTTTGCCGTTCTCGATTTCTGATTTTGGGGATTTTTGAAATACGAAATATATCGTGGGCACTACAACCTACAACAATGTCGAACACCTGAAAAATGCTTTAATAATTCAAGCTTTTAGATATTTGCAAACCCATTCCGTTATAAAAAAAAAGAAAAATATATTCACAGTTTCAGTTTCAGTTATTTCAAAAGTAAAATATATCAATCCCAAATTAATTTTAATATGTGTATGACTATTTTAGTAAATACCATTTTGATTTTTTGTTATTTATCACGGCCTACTAATAAGAAAATGATATATTTTAAATATTGCAGTAAATAGTAAAAATAAATATAGAGTGATATATATTTTTGAGAAGCTCATAGCAAGCCAGATCATATGATTTATAAATATACAGGGTGTTCCATTTGAAAAAACATAACTTTAGTTCATATTTTCAAAAATATTTTTTTGGTAGAAAAACAGACTACGCCACTGTATGCCACGTAAAAAGTTCTACAATAAGCAGTTTTCGCCTTCTCGATTCCTTTAAAAATAACAGAGATACCGGGGGTGTCCCAAATTGCAAAATTTTCGAAAAGACCCTGTAGCTCAGAAACTAAAAGGGCTATGAAAATTTTGTTTGCAGCATCTTCCGTTTGACGAAAAAGTGGGACAGGTTTGTGCAAACCGCACCCTTTTATCTTCACTAATAACGGAGATACCCTATGATTTCAACCAAAATGGGACACACTGTACTTCCAGTTCTGACCAATGCATGCAAAACTTGGACACCTCACTGCGAGCGCTCCGCGAACTCGTCCATTTGCATTGTGTTTTTTTTTGCGCTCCTCGCACTACAGAAATAATAGATTACCGTATATGTATGATGATTTTTAGTAAAAACTTTTAGTAAATTCGTCTCCAGAATCATGCCACGTGTACTGAAGTTTCACAATGTTGCCACATTGTGCATTACTAAGTTTGGATACTTTCAGTTCATTCAGACCTACTTCCCCTTAAAGTACTTGCACTTATTCAATAAATACTCTGTATACATACCTGGTTATCCTAAATCTGTAGTCTGCCTTTAATATATGAAATGATGGGGACAAATTATGTCGGTACCTTCGTTGACAGTTCATTTCTTGAAGAAAAGCCTGGGTGTTCCGGTACTGAAACAGAAATTTAATAGTTTTTTTGTAAATTCGCCTAGAATTAAATTAAAACCAGCTTGTCAGTGGCAGTCAATACCAGGAGGAAAGGTTGAAAAAATTTGGTCAAAACTGTATTATAAAATTGAAGGATGCAGGGGAAAAACTTGATAAGCGCCAATTTCTTAATTTAAGGATTTTACAATATTATAATAGGTCTAACTGGTCCCTACAATATGTATAAGCTCTGCAGGGCAATAAGTTGTTAAATCCTGAAGCTTAATTCAGAACCTCGCAATTAGGGTAGAAGGGTTCGTTCCTTTAATTTCAATGTAAGCATTCAGAACGTCAAAATAAATGGTAGACATTTTCAAAATTTAGAAAAAAGGGGTATAAATGACTTTTTGTTTTAAATGGACTTTGTGTTGTGTAAAGGGAAATAAAGCAATTTCTACACTCTCCTCCACTTAGTGCCACTGTAGCCAAATGGAGCGAACACTCCACTAACTGGACCAGAACCTACATGCCAAACTAGCGTGTACCCGCGACTTCGTTTGCGTCGAATTAATCATTTGTAATGGTGATGATAAAGCAAAGCAAGAATTTCCATTAACATACAAACTGGATAAAATTTTCTCACATTTATGTCAGCATGAGAAAAAACAATATGGCGATATTATTTGAGGGGTAGTTTCATCTCGTTGGAATTTGACTTTCGAAAAATCCGTTTGCCAAGCTTTACGTTATAAGCTTTTTACGTCAAGCAGTTTAAGCAGAATCGTGGTTAAAAAATTACCCAACTTTTTGGAACACCCTGTATGATTTTTTAAAAAAATTTAATACATGTAAAAACACAAAATAAATTATGCGTGTCCAAGCGTTTTCCCAAAAGACTAACCGTTTTTTAAATAACAAATATTGTAATATTGGAGGGGCGTTTTCACCCTCTTGGAATTTGAGATTCGAGAAACCCCTCCTTATCGAACCTCTACAAAGACTCCCACAGTCAAACCGTATGCCAAAAATCAGCTCTAAACGTCATGCAGTTTAAGCAAAATCGTGATTACTCAATGGTCATATATGTTATAAAACACCCTATGTAATTTTTTAAAAAATCTTAAAATATGTAAAACAACAAAATAAAATATACATGTTTAAGAGTTTTTCCGAAAAACTCACCGGTTTTTAAATAAAAAAATATTCTAATATTTCAGGGGTGGTTTCACCCTCTTAGAATTCGAGTTTAGAAAAATCCCTTCTTATCGAACCTCTACACCCTAAAGTCAATCCGTTTTCCAAAAATCAGCTTTTTACGTCAAGCGCTTTAAGCAGTATCGTGATTAATCAATGACCAGATTTTTCGAAACACCCTGTATACATTTTTAAAAAATCTTAAATATGTAAAAAACAAAATAAATATGCGTGTTTAAGCTGCTTTTTTCGGAAACTTGACTGCTTTTGGGTTAAAAAATATTGTAATATTTGGGGGTGGTTTGACCTGAACTGGAATTTCGAAAAATTCCTTCTTATCGAACCTCTACACCCTAGAATCAACCTGTATGCCAAAATTGAGCTTCTTACGTTGAGTGGTTTGAGCAGGATCGTGATTAATCAGTGAGTCAGTCACTTAAGGATTTTATATATTAGTATATATATTAGGCTTTTTCTATGGATGTAGAATGTAGAATGTTTAGGAGGGGAGTTAATCACCGCGACCTTATAGATCTATTGTGTGTTCCCCTTTCTTGAGTTATAACGAGTTATAACTCATCATACAGTCTCAGGGCTTTAAGAAAAGCCAGTATCTGAGACGGCACCACAGAGGCCAGCTCTCCATCCTCGACATCAGAAGTACCAAGGTTCATGGCACGAATGGTCGTCGTCTCGGTGCACTCAGTGATAGCGTGTTCTGGTGTTTCCCCATTTTCCCCACAAAATCTGCATTCTGCTGTTTCTCAGTTTCAGCCTACCGAGGTGTTCTGTTGAGGAGACAGTGTCCTGTTAGAAACCCCGTGACAATCCGAAGATTGCTTTTACTTAAATCAAGGAAAACCTTTAATTTTTCTCATTATAAGTTCTAAGGAACTTTCGAGTGTCTTAGACCGTTGGAGGACACCCATTCAAAGTTGCGGATGGAGTCTCCAGATTCTTCAGTTCCGCTTTCAGTTGGTTCCTGTTTAAAAACAGAACGGTTCTGTCCAGTTAGTGAGTGTTCGCCTTTTCTAGCTAGATCATTTGCTTTTTCATTGCCTTCTATCCCTTGGTGAGCAGGCACCCAGAGTAGGACTTTATTTTCTTTGCCTAATTTGTTGAGCTTCTCCCGGCATTCTTTTTGACCAACTTCGAATTGATGGTTACTGAGTTGATCGCGTTAAGTGCTGCTTGACTATCGGATAGGATGGCACTTCTGTTGATAGTTCCTATCTAAGATAAATTGTACGCATCTTCGATAGCGCAAATTTCTGCCTGAAGGATGGGGTAGGCTCATTGGTTCGGAGTATTCAGTTTTCGGCCCAAATACTCCTAACCCTGTCCCTTGGTTTTGGAAGCTATCCGTACTCACATCATGGTATGGTCTTTTATATGCTGAGTAAGCACTTTCTTCCAACTTTATTACTCACTACAGTGAGGTAAACACCTCAACTCAAAGTTAAATTTTTGGTATGTCATTCACTGGGAGTTGGAGAAGTGGGAATTTTCTTTTTTGAGGGTGCGTTCCCAAGCCCCTGACCTGGTACCCAGTACTGTTTCAGTCAGTAACCATTCTAATCATTGTCGCATTGGCATAACCACTGACGACAATGTGCAGTGGTGTTAGGTCTAGAATGACCTCCATTAAGCTGCTGTTGGATTATGTTCTCATGGCACCTGTGATGCAGATACATGCCAGTCTCTCTGTACTTTGCACAGGTTTTGCCTTGCTGTACGTTGCTCTAGTTTGTATACCAAGCAACTGCTCCATAAGTAATCATGGGTCTTACTATCATGGTATACATCCAGCGCAAAATGTTATGGGCGCAGCCCCACCCATTTCCCGCCAGTCTTCTTACATCATGAGAGCCTTTGTGGCTTTGTTGGTAATGTTCTTAATATGCCTGTTCCAGAGAAGCATTATCCAGGTTATTCCCAGATATTATTTCTACTCCTGTGATGGCAGTATTTCCTTTTCCATCTAGATGGATTCTTTTCAAGTTTTTCAAACTTCGCTGGGTGAATGGTACTACTGCGGCTTCATCTGAGCACACCAGCCTGACAGTCCTGCACCATCTCAGCGATGTGGAATCCCTTTGATAATATCACACAGGGTGCCTTCATGTTTCCCCCCGTGCAATGATGTCATCTGCGTACCCTATGCAGTGTATTCCCGCTAGAGTTAATTCTTCCAGTAGTTCATCCACTACCAAGCTCCACAGTAGGGGAGGTCACTCCACCTGTGGAGTTCCTTGCGTTGTTTTAACAACTACAGTTTTGGTACCTATCTCAGCCTCTGCTGTTCGTGTTGAGAGCATTTCCCAAAACCAGCGAATTATCGTACTGTTCACCCCTCTTGTTTCAAGAGATCGCTTGACCACCTTGTGAGGTATACTTGTATTCATTTAAAACTTCCCAATATGGCGGACGATTGTATGGGAGGCTTAAAAAACGAAAATCTCTAAACTAGAATCGACTGTACTTCAAATCGTTCGAAGTGATAATCTGTGGTAAATCCAATTGAACTCTGGATACCCATTGACATTGACGTGTACGGTTCCTTTTCTAAATATTTTCATTATTTTTTTAGTTTTTATTCACAAATTCTACTTGATTTTGTTCTTTTATTTAACCTGCAACCTGCAGTACTAATTATATAGTTATAAATAATCTTTTCACCGATCAAGAGTTGACGAATAGGCTGGAAGATATTCAAAATGTGTAAATCGCTTAAAAACGTATTAGAAAACATTGGCTCGTTCATAAATTCGTGAAAATAAATTAGTCCAGATGTTTGTAAAAGGTATTATTATAATTATTTTGAGAAGTTTCCTCGTATCAGTAATTTTCAGGTTTGTAATATCTACTATATGATAATAAATAGATTAAAACTTATATTTCAGGAAACAGCGCGGGCATTACAGATTGTTGTAAATCAGTTTTAAAATATAAAGAAGGTTTAAAACAGGTTTAAAAGTTGAGTTGGTAGAGAAGACCTAAATAAGGTAATGTTGGTAATGGGACCAAACATCAAATAACACTTGAAATATATAATTATGTACAATAATTGTAAGTAGTTTTTATGAATCTGTTTGATATCTATTGCATTGTTTTTATATTTCTTGAAATATTTTTTTACTTTACAGGATACACAAGGAATAATAAAAAATACAATTACTCACTAAAAGCACTTAAGGTTTGTAATAGATGTAGTTAGAATATCAAACACCAAACTAAACCAAAAATTATGTTTTATTTTACTGGTATTCCTCACATTTGAAGGGAAAGTCATTTCATAAATAAGCAGGACATTGTATAGTACACTCTATATTAATAATTGTTTTTTATCCTATACTTGTTAGTTAACGCATCACTTACTCGGTATAAAATTTAGTACAGATTAACCTATAGTTGTGGTTGTGATATATTCTGATGTGTTTCTGGCAATTTAAAATAAGTTAATATTTAAACAAACATTTCTGGCTTTCCTGGCAGGAGTGTGGACACAAATTTAATAAAGGTATAATGTGGATAATGTTCTGATTATTACAGTTTGCATGGATGTTTTGGTATGTTGTTATTTTTAATAAAGTATATTTAATGAGTTTTTGAGTATTTCTTTTTCCTTCAGAGGATTGTGTTCTAATCTTTATATATTATAAATTTTCATAAATTATATATACAAAATTTATTACCTTATAATTTTTTGCTAAATACTTTGTAGTTGATACAGTTTAATAGTATATAAAAGAACTATTTAAATAAGATGTTTGAAAATATATAGCTGTTTTTGCACACATCAATTTAATTTGTGATTAACTGTACTGAAA